CAGCTGTTTTTTTTTTTTTAAATTAACATCTAGCACAGCATTACGAACAGCTGTTAACTTAGTAAATATTAGTCTGATGTTCTTCATTTTGCATTCACAAATTTAAGTGACAATAAATATCATCACATGAAAAAACAGTATGTTAATATACCAAGCAGAAATAACCAGAAGACATCCGTCACTATGTCAGAGTCAGTCTTCCTGGAGAATAATTTCACCTGCAGTGCAGATCCTAACTGTAACCCTGGAGGGAGTGTCTGGTCTCTAAACAGACAAACGGTGAGGAAAAGTCAGTGCATAATTAGGTGAGTGGCCTCCCACAGAAACCAACATGGTAATAAGGGCCGTCTGCTTCCATGCACTGTAATTCCGATGCCAAAATACACGGCACCAACAAGCTGCATTCTATTTTTGAACTTTTCATACCCTCAGAGAAGGTATAACTATTATCTTCAGTATGAAAGTGGTGATAAACCTATGTGACTGAGAGCATGTAAAGCCACAATCAAGTTTATTATAGTAATGTAAAGTATTAATCACGCAGTGTAGAGAAAAGAACACTGGACAGAGAGTCAAGTTCCTTAATCTCACTGGTTCTGATCTTTCTTTTATATGGGGGGTTGGGTGATAGGCCTGGAATGGGTCACTGTTCCGGGATGCTGGTCCTGGAATGGGCTTGGCTCCATCAGAATAACTTAAAGACAGGTGATTTTTTCTGTTAATTAGGTTACCATTCAGTATTCATATTATTATGATCATGTAAATGTTACTTATAGCTGAGGTATAAAGTTTTCTATGACTTCTTTTTCTTCTCCTGCATATCAACTTGTTTTTCTGGTGTTGGTAACAATTTAATTATTTTTTCCTTTGCTTAGTTTTCTCTCCTCCCATCTTAGAACCTGCACAAAGACATTAGGTATTCTGTCATCAATTTCATCTTCTTGAGGAAATCTCTCCTGAAGCCTTCTAACTTGCTCCAATCTGTACTGGTTGGTTGCTTTCCTAGCCTGATGAATAACTGTCATCCTAGGATCCTCTTCACCATCATCCTGGGGATTATCCTTCACCTCTCTCTTATGGTGAACTCTGTTACCCATTTGTCTTCTCTTCATTGGTTTATTTCCTGAGTTATGGTACAGTGCATCCTTGAATAGCTTCCTGAGAAAGCTTCCAAGATAGACAAAACTTTCAACCCTTGCACATCTGAAAATGACAAATTTACCCTCGCACTTCACTGATAGTTTGTCTTAGTACAGAATTCACAGTTGGAGATCATTTCAATGTCAGAACTTTCAAGTTCTTTGCTCTGCTGCTTTCTCCCTTCCGTCACTGATACTGAAAACCCTTATGCCACTGTAATTCTTAATATTTTGTAGAAAACACTTTTTCTTTTCGTAGATGTTTCTGTGAGCCAGTGTTCTAAAACTTCACAATGATGAATGTTATTGTCATTTTTATTTCATTCATTTTTCTGGACACTTAATGGACTCTTTCAATCTGGAAATTCACATCCTTTAGGTCTGGAAAACTATAGTTTAATGATAGTTTTAGTGATTCTCACTACTGTATTTTCTACCATTATGCAGATATGGGATCCCTGGGACTGGTACTCTAACTTTTGGATACTTTCTTTTCCATTTTTCATCTTTATCTTTTTTGCTCTACTTTCCAGGAAATTTTTTCAACTTTATCTTCCATCCTTAGCTAATATTGTTGTTCTTAATTTCTGTTATTATATTTTTAATTTCCAAGACCTCTTTTTTTTGTTCACTAAATTCTGCTTTTTAAAATAATATACCATTCTAGTTTTATGGCTACAACATCTTGTTTACTTCTCAGAGAGTATTAATACTAGTCTGGATTTTATTCCAAAGTTTTCTTCACTATCTTTCCTTGTTTGATCAATGCAAGCAACTTTGCTTCTTCCAAGTTACTTATTTGTCAGCTGGGGTCTCTAGAGTTTACTTGGACTCTTTAGGTCTGTTCTCTTGGACTGATAAGATTTTCCACAGGACACTCTTTCAATCTTCTGTCTGGAGGCGTGGGCTTGACATCTGTTTTCTGAAAAGACCTGGGTCAGGTCCTGTACCTCACCAACTCCCCTCACACTTCACCCCTACAGCACCCCCACTGCCCTTTCCATCCCAGCCAACCTGCCCTCCCATTATTCTAGAATGGCCCTTGCAGGTCCCCTCCCACCATCACCTTCACCCCATCTCCTCTGCTCTACAGTGGAGACCTAGCAATAAGCAGTTCCGGGACAGGATGTACACCAAGTCCACCTCTGTCCCCCAGCATGCCTTGGAAAACTGCAGGCTGCAGCAGCACAACAGGCCATAATGATGGTAGTCCACACATCCTCCAGGCAAGGGAAGAGCCAGACAGGCCCTTGGGGGCAGCGAGGCCACCAGCCAGTCGTAAGAAATGCCCAAGGCTCTCTGCCCTGATTCTGAGAAAAGCCTACCCTTTCCTACTGGAAGAAATTTTAAATTTGATTCCGACTCTGAGAGGGCTGGAGAGTATTAGAAGTACGACGAACAGCCACGGGATGAAAGAAAAGCTGGGCAAAACTTAGATGAGAGCTACTGAACCACTGTTACAAGGAGTGCAACCTAATTACCAAAAAAAATCTGAACAACAACAAAAGAAAAAAACAGCAACCTCGACAGCAATCTCCTCGTGACCATCAGGAGATAAGGAAAAATAAAATGTAATAGGAGAAGCAGAATTCACAGTTAAAATGCTACAAAAATCACCTGTGATGCTGACTTGAAGGCAGAGAACACAGAAATGGTTTGTGGAGTGTATTTTCGTTTCACCAACAAAATTTTCACCAACACTTGCTCATAACGAATGACACATGGAGTGCTGGTAAGAAAACCAAAGAAGGAAAACAAAAGTCCAGTGATAACATGGCCCTTCAGAAAGGTTCAGTTAGCTCTTTAAACTCTATTCTACCACTGAATATGACACTCTAGAAGTCAAAGTTAACTTGAAGTAGCTGCTAATTTCCACTAATAACGGTAGGTCCCTCTGTTCCTCAGAGCCAAAGGTCTCAAGTGGGAAACAAGAACAAGGATGTCAATTGTACTGTTTGTTTTCAACCCAATCAACCCTATGAAGGAAACACAAGGAGACAATTTGAAAAATTTTCAATGCTTAAAAAAAAAAAAGAAAAGAAAAAATTATGCTCTTGTTAGTATATTCATGCTTACAGGTAAACCTGAACATAGGCAAGAAAAAACAAGCCACTTCATCTATTAAAATTTCTTCTCCAATTTGACTATTTAAAAACTACATACTTCGAATGACACAGATTTTTAAGAAAACTCAATAGTCAAAAAATTTAAGAAAAATTTGCCAAAAAAGAACAACCACAACAAGAAAAGAGACATGAAAAATCAACAAAGACTATAGTACCATATTGATTCTATTATTTATTAAAAATCAATGTTTTATCAGAGGTCACATACGTTCTGTGAAGAATTTTTTTTAATGTACAACATATGTAACTGCCATAAAACTTTAATGATTAATGCCCTAAATATTAAAAAGCTCTTACAACTTATTAAGAAAAAGAAAATCAACACAATAGAAAAATGGACAATCTATAAAATCAGACAACTTATAAAAGAAAAATTACAAACAGTCAAGAAACATGTGAAAAGGTGCTCAGTGTCATAGGTAGTCAAGAAAACCACCAACTGAAAAGACATTCCATGTTTACTCGTTAGAACAGCAGAAGTTAAAATGATTATTACACTCAATGTTAGTGAGAGTAGAGGGAAACAGTCCTCTCATGTATAGCTGATGGATTGCAAGCTACAATCTTTTGGGTAATGTTCCAGTCAAATTCATTAAAATTAAAATCACACCTCTTCCTTAAGGAAAGAATCCTACTAAATAGATATCCAAGAAAAATGTAAAGCTTTTATGCTAATAATTACTGTATAATCATTTATAATAGCACCATTCCAGAAACAACCCAAAGGTCCATGAATAAGCAAGTTGAAAGAATTATGGTTTATTCACACTATGGAATAATATGTAATTATTAGCAAGACTGAGCTACATAGTTTGTAATGATTTAGAAGGATGTCCATGATATATTATAAGTGAAAAAAAGTAAGTTACACAGTAGTATATACATTATTTTTCTAGACACGCAGCATCACGTGTTCATACAGACTTGTATAAGCAGAGGAAAAAGTATTAAAGAAAGTGTGCCATGTTGCAAAGAGTGGTGCTGATAATGAATGGGATGAAATGAAAACTAATAATTTTACTTCAAATACATTCATAATACTTGGTTCTCAGGATTGTAATATGTAATCATTTGAATTACAAAATGTAAGCAAATCATTAAAGCCTTCAGACACAATTTTTGTATCTTCTAACCACCCAACATATGCCAAGAAAGAATCTTTTGTTTCAAGCTTAAAACTTGGGGACAAGTTCCCAAGATACTTGCTAGGTCAAATCTTAAGAACACTGAGTTCTTCTGACACATATTATTCAAATTTTGAGCATAAGAAATGAAAGAGTAGTAGAACGTAAAACTATTTTTATCTATTGTAAGTACAAGTGAAAAAATATGCACTGGAAACTGACCATCACACTGTTTTGGAGGTCATAACAATGAATATTGAATACTGAAACCAGTTTGGTATTTCACTATGGGGTTCCAAGCTAGGGGGCCTGAAACGTTCCTCTACAAAAATAGTATTAAAATAGGATCCCAGTGGATCTCACTCAATATTGATGCAATTTCTTCCATAAAGAAAAAAATAGGATGAGGGGAAAAAAAACTCAAAAAATAATGTTTAATGCTAAGATATGGTTTACAGGCACTAAACTGAAGCAGTGGCTATGGTTTACTTCTATATTACTTCGCTTTAGATAAGAATTAAAAACAAAAATAAAGTTACGGTACATGTGTTAGTCTTCAACTCAGAAAATGTGCACAATGAATGCTAACACTTAAAAAGATCTTCTCCTACCTTCACATTGTCTGGATGCAGCCCCCCAGGGTGCTTGTCCATGTACTGACATAAATCAGTGTGCTAGAGGAAAAAACGAAAAATGTATTAACATCCCTCTGGCTATAACATGATGAATCAATATTTTTCTACTTCCAAGTCACCATTACCTCTGAACAAAGCAAATATAAGAATAGTGGGTGGATATCTCAGTGTATGCAGTTGCATGTCTGCCTGCCCATTTTTAACCACAATTGAATCATTACCTTTACTTCTAGACTCTGTTTTATGTTAAATATGTCTATGTATCAGAAGGCAAACTGTCCATAATTTGTTAAGAGTTCAATTTCTTCCACATTGAATATATATTTCCGTAAGTTAACTTAAAAACAAATTTAAAGCAGTTAACAAATCTAATTACAATCCTATTTATCTTCTATTTTCCAAGCGCAAATGGAAGTTATGATTATTTTATTGAGATGAAAATACTACAAATACATCATAGTAGTAAAATTAATCGTGTGGCTTATTTAAATTTTAATATCTGTATTCATAAACAAAAATTTTCGTGTTTCCAGAAATTCTGAATTTATCTGGGCAAATATACTTTATAAATTAATAGCAATACTTCCAAAATTATAAATTAAGACAATGCATCCAGATATAAGTTAAATGGAGTATCGTGAGATAGCATCTTATGGATGTTATTCTTTTAAATATACCAAGCTCAATTTGATCATAATCCTATATTTTCTTCTTAAAGATTTTTCTGTTCATATTATGTACTACACAGAATTGTCAAGAAACACGTAGAGTTGCTCTTCAAGTTTTTCTTGTCTTATGAAGATACTGAAAGATACGTAACACTGAAACATTTAGTCATTCTGCAAAATCCAGTAAACATGAGCATTTGTGTCCCATTATCAGGCTTGAACTGTTGAAGTACTACATACAAGTTTTATTGAAGAACCTTGCTTTAGCAAATGTGACAACAGTGCAGATTCATTTATTGAGTTTTATTGCATGACAGGTGGTAACTGCTGAGGCTACAGAGCATAATTTAGAATTCATTCATTCATTCATCAAGTATTTCTTGAGCCTTTATTATGTTCCAGGCACGACACAGAACTGAATGGAGCAGATGCAACAGAAAACAGACACTTCAATATTATCAGCAGAGTAGGTTGTATATTATTTTAAGACTGTACTGGATAATGTTCAAATATATAGCAAGGGAACCTAATGTGGTCTAGAAACTTCAGCAAGCCTCAGGAAGAAATTACTTCTAAGTAAGATAAAAGTAGAGGCTGAAAGAAGTGATCCATCCATTTAAAGGTGAGAAGAGAAAAGGGAACAGAAGAAATGCTCTTAGATATGTTCTGGGACAAAACTACCTTTGTCTTGAACCACATCCAAGGTATTTACCTTCTAAAAGTCAAAGCGCCATAAGGGCAGAAACTATGTATGATTCGGAAATTAACTGAATCTCTAATGTCAGACAGAACATCAGACATAGGGAAGAAGAAATTAAACAAACATAGATGTAAATAGTTTTAGATATAGGATGGCTCCATAAATATGACCCTAAAATATGATTATAATGGGTCCCATGGAGTTTTTCCTGAGTAACTATATAAAAGTTTTATTTCATATATTTAAAAAACTGAGGAATGTGTTCTGAAACCCAAATTGCCATTTCATATCTCCATATTATTGACTTCCTCTTCATTTCAAATACAGATAATGTCTCCCTTGGAAAATATTTTTGAACAGCAAATAAGATAGTAGATGTGAAAGTACTCTTTACCTATAAAGTAATATACAAAAATAAGGTATTATTTAAAATACTGCCGATTACACAATAAGATATATGAAGGCAAGAACTGTACCTAATTTTTTCAATGCTTCACACACAACAAAAACAACAGTAAATAGGAAGCACGACCAGTCATCTCAATGATCACATATTCACGATGAGTTAAAATTCTTATTAAAAATATGAACCCTCCAAATAGGTTAAAAGGTAAAGAAATAAAATCAAACACACACTGTTTATAAGATACAAACAAAAAACAAACAAAACATAGTCTGAAAATAAAAAATATATATAGATATTATATATTACATATTTCTATTTTGTTATTTACACTGAAAATACCAATATAAAGGAATCAGATATACCAATGTAAATATTAGACATAACAGAATTCAAGGAAAATTAAACATTTACGCACCTAACAACATAACACATCGAAAGCCAAAATCAATAGAAATAAAAGAAACTGACAAATTAACAGGATCTTGAAGAGTTTAGCTAGCTTCTTCCAGAAATCAACAGATCAAATTGGCAAAAGAAAGTAAGGCTATAAAGAATATGAATAATACAAATACCATGTCTACATTTGAGCCCAATAAACTCATGCTATGCATACTTTTTAAATACAAATGGCATATTCACAAAATTGACAATGTATTAGACACAAGGAAAATGTGAACAATTTCCAGAGAGCAGAAGTCATATTCCATGCCCTTCTCACAAATGCATGAAATTAAAAATTAATACTGTATTTCATCAACTCTAAGACACACTATTCTTTTCCTCTCTGACACTGGAATATGTCTTATAATTACTATTAGCCGAGCAGTAGTTGGAACACAGTTGTTATTGGCTATGTTTGAGCAAACTTATTTGTTACTTTGATGGCATGACTGATCAACAAAAAACTTAAGGACCATCTGTGGAGAAAGATGGAAAGATGAGCAATAACTGTCATCTGGAAACCATTTATTGAAATTTTCAGATAAGATAAAAATAAATAAATAAAGGTACCAGAATTAAAACTTACAGAGCTCTTTCAATAAGCATAAAATGAAAATTCTAAATGATAAGAAAGCATCAGATCACAGCTTAGTAGAAAGAACTTTCTCGGTAGTATAGAAAATTTTTCTTCCAGTTGAGAGTGGCTTAAGTTCAAGGGAAGTAGGAAGGAAAAGAAGGAAGAAAGAAGCAAAAAGACGGAGGCAAAGAGAAAATGAACAAGGAAGGCAGAAAATCTATTTTCTAGGAAAGTTTAAAAAATATCTTAAAACCTTCTAAAAGAAAATTTAAATCATCTAAAAATGAATAATAACAGGAGATTTCAAAGCAATGACAAGTTGTCACAGTATTATTCACAGGAAGATTAAGAGCTTTAAACGCATTTACTAGAACATAAGAATGACTGAAAATAAATAAAACAATCAATAAACTCAAGCTAGAGAATATCAAACAACAAAGAAACTCACAGAAAGTAAAAGGGATTCACGTACTTAATAATAGAAATTAATTAAATAGAAAACAATAGGCTTGATCAATAAAACAAAAACTCATTTTTTTGCAAAGTCCAATAAAAGACAAATCTTCTGCAAGTCTGATTTTTTACAATGAGAAGGGTTTTGCCAAGATGTAATCAACATTAAGAATGATAAAATGGCATAACTTAAAACGTAGACCCTGAAAAAATAAGACAGTAACCCCATGAGGTAGAGTAGAACTGCCCCATAGGCTTTTCTTGGCTGTAATCTTTACGGAAGCAGACCACCAGGTCTCTTTCTCACAGAGCCACTAGGTGGGTTCAAACCACCAACCTTTAGGCTATGAGCTAAGTGCTTAACCATTGTGCCACCAGTGCTCCCTATAAACATCATTAAACCAATAAATTTGATACCTAGATGAAATTTATGTTTTTTTCTAAGAAAACATGCTATTAAATTTTAGATTCTGGAAGAGAGAGGAATTGAAGAGCTATACCTAAAAAAGGCACCAAGTTCAGGCAGTTTTAATGGAAAATTCTCCAAACCTTCAAATAACAGATTCAAATTATTTTATAGTACAGGAGCCCTGGTGGCAAAACGGTTAAGTGCTAACCGAAAAGGTCAAAAGGTCAGCTGTTTGAATCACTCAGTGGCTCTACAGGAGAAAAGACCTGGCGATCTGCTCCCTTAAAGATTACAGCCTTGGAAACCTTATGGGGCAGTCCTGTAAGGTTGCTATGCTGTGAAACACATTCGATGGCACTTAACAACAGGATTGAAGAACAGACAGGCTAGTCTATGGACAAAGAAAAAGATAAAAATTTTCCCACTCCCTCTTTAAGGCTGCAATGTCAAACCAGATAAAGGGGAGGGAGGGAAAAACTAAGCCAAACTCTCATATGATCATAGATGCATAAATTCTAAAAATAATAGCAGTATATTATAAAAGATTAACACACCAAGACAAAACAAGGTTAATCCTAGGAATGAATAGTTTGACATAATGAATCTATTAATGTGATCTTCTCAAATGAACAAATTAAAGAGTGGGATGGTGATGGGTATATAAAAGAACTTTTATGGTATTATATTTATTAAATGCTGATTATGCAAAAACAAAACAAAGTCCCTGCTCTCAAGGAGCTTACATTCTGTGAATTTTATATACTTGTAAATTACTTTTTTTCCAAAAAAGCTAAAATATTCAAGTTTTTCTTTTATAAGAAAAAAAAAAGAGCGAGAGAGAAAGAAAGAAAACATCAAGGTGGAAAAAAATTCCTGGTCCTCAAGTGACACATGATGTCTTTTTGAGAATATGATTTCCAACGACATCAATGTCAGGACTTATAGACAAGAGTTCTTCCCCAGAAATAAAATCTTGAAAAACTTAATACAGATGTTTCAAAACCTTTCAGAGTTTAAAATCCACATTTCCTTAGGTGTATGGCATGAAAATGTGATGCACGTGTGTGCACACACACACAGAGCACATGCATGCACACGTGGTTATCACTAACTGTATAAGTTTGGGCAGGTTATGCAACCTCTGTATGTCAATATCTTAACCTGTATACTAAGGATAATCCTAGTACCTATCTCATATGGTTATGGTAAAAATTAATGAGTAAATATCCATAAAGGTTTCAGAACACTGCCCAGGACATGGTACTTGCTATAGATGATGATGAGGTAGTGATGATGAAAATGCTGATGAAGATGGTGATTTTCTGTGATATGTTTAGGGCTAGAAATAGGAAAAGATACTTGGAGGACTGCAGTAAGAAACAAGA